ATGTGTCAGCAGAAATGGAGACTCATCAGAGCAGCAACGTTTCTCCAATCTTCTGTTGTCCAATTCTGGTGAGACTGTGTGAATTGTAGCCTGTTTCCTGTTCTTAACTGACAGGATTGGCACCCAGTGTGGTCTTTTGCTGCTGTAGCCCGTCTGCCTCAAGGTTGGACGTGTTGTGCATCCAGAGATGCTCTTCTGCATACCTCTGTTGTAAAGAGTGGTTATTTGAGTTACTGTTGCCTTACTATCAATTGGAACCAGTCTGGCCATTCTCCTCTGACATCAAGGCATTTGCACCCACAGAACTGCCGCTCACTGTATATTTTTCAGGCTATTGTCTGTAAACCCTAGAGATGGTTGTGCTAGAAAATCCCAGTAGATCAGCAGTTTCTGAAATACTCCAACAACCATGCCACGTTCCAAGTCACTTAAATCACCATTCGTCCCCTTTCTTGCTCAGTTTAAACTGCAGATCATCTTGACCATGTCTACATGCCTAAACACATATAGTTGCTGCCATGTGTTTTTCTGATTAGAAATTTACATTGAGCAGTTTGAGAGTGTACCTATTAAAATGGCCAGCATCCTTATAGTCAACCAAACCCTGCTACTTTAAAAATATTTTTCCACAGGAAAAAAAAAAATCAAGACCTCATCAGTAATTTGTATTTGGTCATTAATTCAAGAGTTCACACTTAGCTGATGATTGGTAATAAGCTAGTTTGGCATGCTGTCCCGGGAGAGAGCCCCGAGCTCAAGAGATCCTCGAGCCCGGAGCTCCCTCCCATTGCAGGGCGAGAGGGGAGTTTGAGCTCGGGTAGATCTCGAGATTCCCTGTGAGATTTTACTGTGAGGCCGCAGTGCTAGCCACTGGGCCGCCGTGCTGTCCTGTAGAAAAGAGGAGAAGGGGTGGAAGGGGGGATTCATCAAAACGAAGATGACTAAAGGTAAGATGTTTGGTTATTTATACTGGGTTAGGAATAGCCTGATTGGTGGTTCGTACATTAGCTTGACTCTGGGCCAGCCGTGTCAATCATAAGCACGTGATCCTCTCGAAATTAGTTTATGAATAAACTTCACTTAGTCTAAAAGTCCTAAAATAAAAAATCTTACGGCAAAGTAAACCAAACACACACAAATTAGAACAACCAGCTGTTTATTTCAGTCTTCAATTACTTTGCCATTGTAAAAAGAATCCATTTATATTAACCACATCGTTTATGTCAATGTTCAAACTCCTGCAGGATAATACGCAGTGTTTTTAATCCATTCATGTCATTATACACACTGTGAATTGTTTCATCTTCATCTTGTTTCTGCACCAGATATAAAGCGTTCTTTAATGTTTTCACTAACACCTCAATGGCTTTGGGTCAGAGAGCACATGCTTTGCATATTACCTATTTGCAAAACAACTAAACCACACACTATATACAAAATCTTTGTAAGAATAACAAAACTCATTTATTGTAACCAGAAAGGCTCCACACACTATTAACAACATTTGCTCGATAGAAAAAGCACAACAGGAAATGCAAGCAGCGAAAGAGGAAGCAGCAGAGTCAAAGATTTAGAGAAGCCGGACAGTTTTTCCTGTGACCGTCAGATAATCTTCATCAGCCAGAAGTCTGAGGGCTTCATCAAACATGTCCTTAGTGATGGCCTGAAACGAGAGGAAACATCATGTAAATCCATATATGTCTGAAGTTTAAGCGTGGGATCTCTGTAAATAGTCATTTAAGCTCATTTAAAGCATACCGCTTCCGACTGGCCACGGAGATCATCGAACAGCTGTTGGTACTTCATTGCTGGTGTTTTGCCCTTTGATTGGATGAGCTTCTTCAGTGCTTGAGCCACTTCCTCCTTACGCTTGCGTGCTGTAGCGCTCATTCCTGTCCACAAACAACCAATCAAAACCATCAGACTCGCTGCAATTACCATACATTACTTAAGTGTTCAGGAAAATAAGAGAAAGCCCTGCTGAACAATCCAGCCTAAACCAGCCTAGGCTGGTTTTAGCTGGTCGACCAGGCTGGTTTTAGAGGGGTTTTGGCTACTTCCAGGCTGGTTTCCAGCCATTTCCAGCCTGGTCTTAGCTGGTCAGGCTGGGAGATGACCAGCTAAAACCAGCTTGACCAGCCTAGCCAAGCTGGGAGTCCAGCCAAAACCAGCTATATCCAGCTTAAACCAGGCTGGTCAAGCTGGTTTAAGCTGGATTTGGCTGGTCATTTTCCAGTCTGACCAGCTAAGACCAGGCTGGAAATGGCTGGAAACCAGCCTGGAAATGGCCAAAACCCCTCTAAAACCAGCCTGGTCAACCAGCTAAAACCAGCCAACCAGCCTAGGCTGGTTTAAACTGGATTTTTCAGCAGGGAGAGTTTGATTATAGTCATAATATCAGCTACTCTAGTTATTTCATGGCATAACCAGATCCAACTTTTCATACAGATCACTTTTTTAATAATAATAGAAACATTTTGACAATAAAAAGACATTATCAGCAATGATTAATACACAAGAAACGTCTAAAACAGTTTAAGGTTTACTTTTGATC